TGCCATGAGTCAGGTATGGAAAAAACAGACTTTCATATATTTTATTCACTTTTGTTGCTCTCTGTCATGTTGTTGGATGTTAACCTCCGTTAAACCCCTACAGTACATTAACGTTTCACGACAGTAGTGTTTAGTAAAGACTAAGTAGTATATTTAACAAATTAGCCCATACATGTCCGTTTCACACTTCACACTCAACATTATGACTCAACAGCTTCACTGTAGTTGTTTGCATGAACCCAGCTAGCTAGCTAACTGGCTAAAGTTACATTTTTACTAGACTGAAGCGTATGTTAACAACGGTAACTATGGTAACTACGGCCAGTTGGAAGTTTTACCTTTGTGACATGTCTCCAGCTTCAGGGTGAGAAACGTTCCCAGTTTTTCTAAATTAACACAGTTACAGTTACAAACAGTTAAATATTAACCATTTGATACACAAGCTATGCAAAGACTCATCTTGTACGGCATCAAAGAGCTTTCTTCCTTTATTAGAGCTGTATTCCAAGACACACCCACAACTCTAGCTTTGATCCTGTGGAACAAAGTCTAGGTCCTCAGCATCATCGATTACAGACTCCTCATTTTCCTAATCCTGTTCTTCATACATCGTCTTTATGAAAATGTTAACCCTGTCTGAAAGTCTGAAATGATTGTGACCAGCATACTAACACTCTGGATAAAGTAAATCAAAAGCAGATTTTCAAATGCATATCAATCAGTCTATAAAGTATATACTGTTATATTTTGAGTTTTATTTTGTTGAACTAGCTTTGGTTAGCTAGCTAGAAAAGAGGCTAGCTAGCTAGCTGCTAGTTAGTATTGTACACATTTCTCTTTCTTACTAGAAATGGTATGTAATGGCTTACATGCATCAGATGTGCAAAAGTAGCCTTGTGAAATGTATGGCAGGTGCTGTAGAAATACAAAATTTACAATTGTTTATAAAGTCAGAAAGGAAAAAGGAAATGAATGATACATGATAGTAAATGATAAAATACATTTACTTTCAAAAAAAATTGCAGAGAAACACCCAGCCAGTCATTTTGACCCATATTGTGCATTAGATGGGTAGTGATACAAACTTTATTTTTATTCAAAAAGTAACAAAGGAAAAATTAAAATAAGGATTTTTGATGATCAAAAACAAGTTAATTGGGGGATACCTGAAATACTGAATGACAAAATGAATGTACTGCAAAGATATAGAAAATGAAACTGAGCCAGGTCACTTTTGACCTATGTTGTGTATCAAAGGGTTAACTGAACTTAGCTCAAGTTAGCTCAACATGATGTCAGCTTCTCCAAGTTTATACGGCGCTCGGTCCGTCTCCACAGTAACCGTGTTTCCAGAAGATGCTCACGTAGTTGCATAATTTACTGTTTAATCGGTTTTATTAAAACTTATAGTGTGACAGTGAATTACTGAACTAAACAACAAACATAATATAGTAATCATAATAACCACAATGAAAATAATACACTTTCAGGTTTTCCCAACCTACTGTTTTAAAAGAAATCAGTGATACACAAGAATAATTTATTTGTTATTATGTGACCTACAGCTTCTTGAACCACACTTATTTTTGTATTTTCTCTTATTAACTTACACATTGAACATATTATTTCAGGTGCAAACCAGTGCACACCACAAGAGAGCTGATAAAAAGAATAAATAATAAATACCACCAAAATACATCAATTATATTAGATGAGTAATACTGAAAAAATATATATTATGAGACTTAATAAATACTTCACTAAATAAGACATCAGACATAAGCAAAGAACAATAATTTATCTCCAGGGAACTCCATCACTTTCAAATCTACTGAGACACCAGGTGACGTCCTTCCTGTCAGTGAAGACACTGCTCTTTATCACACTGTGTAATGTTATAGGATTTGTGTATGTGCAAATGTGGTGTACTGCTGCAAGAAACACACTACAACTCAATTATATGTAATGGAAGCTGCAGGAAAGCCTGTGCTCCCATTGTTAATGACACGATGAACATATCAACCAACCTGAAGAGTCCTTATAATAACACTCACATCAAAGTGTTCCCACTATTGAATGGCCTCATTCAGAAAGCTGGGCCATTAACCCACTAACTTTCTTGACTCCTTTTCAAGTGCATTTTTGAGTTTAACACAGGGTGTGATCATTCTGAAAAGCTCTGCCACAGTGATCCGATGGGTTTATGATGAGGGGTGGAAATCAGCCGGGTGTCTGCTTCTGGAGGCGCATTCCCTGCCACGCTTAGGCGGTCACAAGACTTGGACCATCGCTGCACAAAAACACGGACACGCTGTCAGGTCAGCTAGAAGCTTACAGGCCCACAGATTCTTCTCTTCTCCGCATCCAACATCCAACAAGTTGCTCCATTTGGAAAACCTCTGCCTTGCGCGCTGCCGCCCCCCGTCGTTGAATTTTCTATTTTTTCAGTGTGCATTTCAGCTTGGCTCTCTCTTAAACGATAACCCACCACTTTGTCTGGGAAAGGGTCGTTTTTAACTGGACTTCAAAAGCCGCGTTAAAACTTAAACTAAGTGATGTTTCGGTGCGTAAAGGAGGGGCGCACGCTTAAGTGAGCGAACGCCAGTGGAGGAAATTGCGCCTAAGATGTCAACATTGCTTTGCCACCCACTCGAAATCGATTGTAGTACCTTCAAGAAGGTGGCTCCTCGTATAAATAGGGACGCATTATTTCGAGAAAGACGGTGGTGAGGCGCAATCCGGTGGGTGCTCTTTCTCTCTCTCTTCCTCTCGGAACTATACAGACAACGCCTGGAAGAATTTACCAACAATATCCGTGTCCACTATCCAGGACATAAACATCTTTAACGCCTGAACTAGTAAGTGTGCAGTTAGATTAACTACATTTATTTCCCCCTTGTATTCTCAAGTGGAAGAAATGTAACTCATGCGTAAAGTGGATTCCACCAGACCATTTATATCTCCCTTCAGAGGAAAATTATTTTGTACCTCTGGATTTTTTTTTTTTGTAATTCGGGGAATGCAAAGGAAATCAAATTGCAAGCATTGCTGATGCATCTGCATGTGCTTAGGCATGACATAAAGTGTACTTTCTTTAATAGAATAAAACAAACATGGATGATTGTTTGACTGTATTAAAACCATGCAACTCCTGTGAAACAAAACTTATTCTGCATATGTTTTCAGACAGTGAAGTCATGCAGGTGGAGAGGAAATGGCACATACTGTTGACTATCTTCTTTCTGCTCATCACCTCGGGCCAGTGCATGGACAGCAAGGACGTCAAGCAGAAAGAGAGAAGGACCCTGTTGGATCTAATCTTGCAGGTTATCAGAGACAGCCAGCAGCGGGACAAACCCATCTCCCGGCGCTGCAGCAGTGGACTCCTCACCTCAGCCCAAGACATGAAGTTCTCCTCCCGTGAAAAGCCTTTCTATGTTCCAAGGCTGGATAACAGTAGACTCATAGGTAAGCTGATAAGATTTATATTTAGGTCCTGATAATGAAAGCATAATCCCCATTTTATCGTGGGAGACAGCTGTCATTGGTCTGGTCTGTGCTACATCTCATTTAGGAGCCTTATTTAGTTTGGCTGAATGGAACATGGGGTTAATTTGAGAAATTTGGAAAAGAAAGTCAGAGTTTCTTGTTCATAAATTGGATTTTGGCAAGAGTAAACTCAAAAAGACAGGGTGCAGCAGTCAACTCTTTTCTGTCCTCAAACATTCCGACTCAATTTAAAGTGCTTCTTAAACACATGTGAGGCAGGTGTGCCTCATCTGGGTCGTGACGTTGTGTCATATTTATCATACTTGGTGCATCTCTCATTTCACCGTGCGTTTGAACAAATCGATCCATCGCTCAGACTGTGATTGACTGATGGAGGGAGACGTGGATAGGTCCTGTGAATTCACGTGGGAGGAGCACCGTCACACTGAACCCCAGTGAATGATTCATTCAGTGTGATTCATTGTGGAATCTCAAACATGAATTACCCCCCCCCCAAAAAAAACACACACACACACTTTGAACACATTATGACATCCCAGAGAGCATTTCTTATCGCAAGCATCTCTGCAAGACATATGACACTGAGCAGAGAAACAGGGCTTGGCTTGTGCTGTGTCACATCCATGTCACTTATATCACTCACTGTTACTGCTTTTGAACACAGATGGAATGATAAGACTGTATTTCATTTATATGTCAAGAAGAGTCTAATATGCTGATGATTTGAGCTTCTTGCCTAAAACAAACTGACATTCAATATTATTTTCACTAAAATGACATTTATTTTCAATCTTCAGTTAATCATTTCTCCTGAACTAAGTGAGAACGTGCATGCTGTAGCTCTGCTTTACTGGATTGAAGTAACATTACTTCAGGATTTAAGGCATTAAAGTACATCTCCCTTTAATTATCTGAGATCCAAGACAGACGGTCAAACTGTAAAAAAGACAGAGCAGGCCAGCGTGTAGTCCAGGATTGTTTATGTGCAGTAGGAGTTTATTAAGTGCCAAGTGAGGATAATGTGTTGTTTACTGCTGTTTTTAGAATTTTCTCCTCTACCATCACCATCAATCAGATCAGGTTGTAGGGTTGCTGCACAGGCATCGGGGAGCTCAAAGTCTCGGCTCCAGCTTACGCAATTGGAAAAGTACTTTTCTCAGACCACTGGCTGGATGGAATTTATCTTTTGAGGATATTAAAAGCAGCATATTAGCAACTGGTGCATGTGACACAACCAAAAGATCCATGGTCACGCAAGGATAGATGCTTTGAACACAATTCGGAGGAAGGAGAAACATCTGTGAGCCCAACAGTATGTTCACCCTATAGTCGTCCCTATTTCCTTCTTCGATGTGCATCAACTCAATGAGGCTACGAGGAGGCACACATGAGATGAGAGAACCTTAACTTTGTAACTAGCTTTATCTGCTATGCTTTCTCTTTTCATATGTATAGCACAATAAGTAAGCTTCAGACTTTGATATTTAAAATATTGTTGATCTGCATTTATTATTATCCAGGAAATGCAGAACAATGTCCTCATGTAGTTGATTTTGTGTAATTCTGGCTGCCACCTCATTATCTAAATCTGATTTTGGCTTAATGGCAAAGTTGGCTCTTTAGTTTTAAAATTTATATATATTTATTCATAAAAGTATTGTGAGGTTTGTTTGACTTTAAAGTCATTAAAGTTACTCCCTAAATTGGCTCTCAAATTGACTACAATCTCATCTCTCATCGTCCTGCAATTATATACAGTCACAGTATTGCATGCCCCTGGGGCTGGGGGCTAATATAGTGTTAGCCCAGTAACTACTTGCATGGACTTACTCTGATGAGCATTAAATGTCCATACAATAATCTCTTGAGCCTGTTAGCATGGCCAGTGGGTTATCAGACATCCGCATGTGCTTCCCATGTGGACACAGTAGAGGGGGTTTACCTGAAGCCCTGACACCAGAACTCCACAGAGAATAATGTCAGGGTGTAGGTGCATTATAGACACACTAAATATGCAGCATGATCAATAAACAGAATTCACATGTAACTTGAATGGCACTCCTTAGAGCACATACTGTACCTACTTTAGATTAACTAGATTCTGATTTTTATTTGGATCTGCACCAAATCTACACACTCATAGAGATCAGTCCCCTTTTCATCAAAATCCATGAATTATTTTCGGAGAAATCTATTAAATCTATAACACGATGTTAAAAACGTTATAGGTCATAGGTCATGCCCCACCCCTCTGCAAAATGTCATGGAAATCCATTAGTTTTTGTGTAATCCTGCAAAAAAAAACTTAATGAAAAGATAACCTCTTTGACTGAGGTAATAATGTTCATTTACAGCGCTGTATTCAGAAATTGTGTTAACATAAGATGGAGTCAGTGCAGTGAAACCATTTTGATCAAGCAAAATTAACCATGGAAAATAATCATCCCGCCTTCTGTTGACCAGAGCCATATATTTTACATCAGAGTGGTTATAATGAGAGTTTTTCTGCATCACTATGAAAGATGCAGCAGAGGTTGACTTTGATATAAACAGTCATATTACTTGACCTAATCATGGGCACATGCTCATCTGTAGAGGACTGACAAGCTAACAGTGATTTTCTCTTCCAGAAATAGTTCCTAGAGATGTAAACATGAAGGGCAAATTCATTCAGCATTTCACAGGTAAGAACATTTGCCATCCAACACAACATCATTTGTTCAACGTTTCAGCTCTGAACACATTCTGCTGTTGCTTTCCTACTACAAACATTACACAACTGTTTTAACTGGCAAACATCTTTGAGAGCATAGTTCACTTTTCTCATGCAACTTTTGGCTGTTATATTTTTGAGTGCTGCCCATTTGAGAGAATCATTTTCATTCCTGTGAGCCATCATTCAGCATGCTTCTTTCACATTGCTTTCTGTCAGACGTCAGCAAAAAATGTTGGAAACCTCCAGTTTTATATAGTTTTTTTTATATTCAAAAGAAAGTAGTCTTTTCATTTCCACTGGGTAAAAATATTCATCTTAAAACTAGTAACAAACACTGCCAAATGAATGTAGTGGAGCGTGATGTATAAATATTTTGCTCTGAGATGTAGTTGGGTGGAAGTATAAAATAGTTACTGTCCTCCACTGGAAGCCGACAGAATTAAGCTGAAGGCAGTGAAAGGTTAAGCAGATTATTTGTCTCGGGACCTATGAGTAGACTTCATTATTGGTGTGAAAATCTGGAAGCTTAAACGTTTGTGCAGAAACTCTTAGTGGTGATTATAACTGAATACTCAATTCTTCAGTTGAACCCTGACTCTTTAACCCTGCACTGTTCACCCCCACTCTGTGATTTGATTTGATTCTTTTTATCTGGGGCATTTCTTATAAACTCACTGTGGACTTGTGGTGTTATAATGGTTATGTGTTTATACCAGCAGATGGATAAAGAGGAAATGATCAATCACTTGTTTATCACAAGTCTTTTCCACTTTGGCTGATGAGACCTTTTCTATTAAGCAGGACCAGTCAAGTTCTCATCGGAGTGCAGAACACACTTTCATAGACTTTATCACAACACAAGGGACTGCTCGCGACCAGCATGTACGTATGCCTTTTAACACTCATGTTGCTCTTCTCATAAATTGCTCAATATCTGATCTAGAATACATTTTATTTCCTGCATAAATATGATGCTTTAAAGACCCTAAAAATCACAATTTCCAATAATTGTGTCAGTTTTAGTTTTTGCTCGTTGTTCAATTACATATGATCAGAATATAAACCTTTGATAAATAATACCAAACTTTAACTTTCATTGGTGCATATTTATTATATATTAAAAAAGACAGAATTATCAGGGACAGTATCATCATAATTGGCTCATCTAAATGGATATGGATTCAGGACAAGTTGCTATAAAGAACAGTTTTTCCCAACTGCTTTGTCTTATCAATGTTTTAAGAAAAGCCATTTGCCTTTTGTCTATTTCTGTCCCTTTGGCCTTGTGACAGGGTGCATTTCTGTGATTTGCAAGAAAAAACATTTATTTCACAATCAAAAAGGTTCATATGAGAAAATATGTGCAGCAGAGAAAGTTTATTTTCTTTTTTCAGTATTCAAACCATCAGATTTTTACTGCAACCCATTTGAGGTTCATGTACTCCATGTTGGGAACCATTAACACAGAAACAACCTGGAGCTGTAACCTCAGTTTGCAAACTAAAGGATCAGTCCTTCTGCATGGGATGTTTACATGTAGGAATTAAGAGAATGACGTCAAGCAGAATTTAGAGAATGATTGCAGACGATGTGGGTTTGACACAAATGGGTGTGTTTAGGTAGACTTGCCTCCCTGTTGTGCTGCCTCTGATGCTTCTGTCAAGTAGGTATAGACCTACAGTACTTTTTATTTTTGTCTGCTTGTAATACTCAGTAGTTTAGTTTGAGCCAGACAGGGAGACACGACAAAGAAACACAACTGGTTCACAGACAGGATTCATTTGACTGTTGAGTTGGGATGACGTAGATTATTGCTAAATGCAACGTTTATGGTTCATCACTCATGCTAATGTTACTGCTGATGATATTAGAAAACACAAGGAATGGTTTACTTCACATGCTGAGCGTGTTATAGGGACATTGCAACTTTAAATACTCTGTCAGGAATTAGCATATTGCAACAACGTTGACGTCAACACTGCCTCTTTGTCCTTTAGATGAGTGCAGACTTTTTTTCTACCCTCACTTTGACTGACACTGTAAATTACTAAGTAAATACTGTCGTTTTCATGGTCCAGCATATACTTTACATGAGTGCTCTGAAAACACTATATATTACATTTGCATAATTTTTACAAATCTAAAGTACCAGGCCAGAATTAAAAACACTAAAATGGGAGTAACATGCATATCCAGTAAAAATATTTTGATGGGTGCTGGATCAACAAAAAATAACAAAATGCTTGAAAAAGAGAAAATCTG